TATTTAAATGTGCTTACCGGGCTTCACCTCTACTTGTGGATGGATCTGTAAACAACTCTGAGTTAAATTAGAGCACATGCCAGCATTTCCTGTATTTTTTGTGCAAGTTTGTTTCTAATAGAAGTCCTTCTGGATGATGGAGGTAATTAACAGTGAGCTGTGTTTAACTTAGCTTTTCCACTTCCGAAAACAAAGCATCCGTGACAGGTTTCTTTTTTTAAAGCCAAGTCACAGGAGAAGAAATAATGATGACTCTTGTCTTAACTAACTGTCTATATGTCAGCTTTTATCCTGCAGTAACTAGCCAGCCCTCGGTGAAACTAGGGTAGGAGCAGGAACACGATCAGGCAATGAAGAAATCACTGATGTGCTATAAATCCATTCTTGAACATTAGCTGCTTGGTACCTCCGTTGGCAGCTGGTCCCTGGCTGCTGGAATTGGGCAAGTACCGTGGAAGAGAAGGTCATGGTGTTCTTTACCTCTTCAGTTTTTGCTTGAGTATATGCATACGGAGGGATGAATCATCTTGAAGGTACAGGGAACTGCTAGATCTATATTCCAAATGTAATAAGTATTTTATGACGACTAAGCATTTGAGTGAAATGTGTGCCATAAGAGAGAGGGAGAGTGACAGTGTCTCAGGAGGAATTCCCTAGGAAGTGAACCAGTTTGCAAACTAATTGCAAACTGGTTTTGGCACTTTCCCTGCAATATCTAACACATACAAGAAAGGATCTAGCTTGTCCCTTTTGTAGGTTTTGACTTTCAAAGACAGCAAAATATCAAAATTGCTCTTTTCATGAAGTTTAACGTGAAACCAAGAAACTGTGAGATGAACTGACATCAAGATTTGCATTTGGTGTTATTATGTTACCTGTTTTGTTCTGAGCAGGAACAGCCTGCTGATGTGTGTGCAGTGAGCACCACTCTCAAAATAGCTTCAGGGATCCAAACGCTCCGTGAACCCAAATACTGGGTTTTCTGTTCAGTCCCTAGTGGCACATGTAGCCTGTAGCCCAGGTTTGCCCACTGCTGCAAATTCAGAGCTAGCCTGAAATGCTTTTCAGAAGAAGTAGCTGAAGAAACTTTTGTTTTTTCCTTATTCAGCAAGTAATAGTGAAAGGCCTTGGTCAGTATTTCCTTTATTACGGAAAAGAACAGTCCTCCTCTGAGAGTGACAGTGTCTCAGGAGGAATTCCCTAGGAAAGGAACCAATTTGCAAACGAATTGCAAACTGGTTTTGGCACTTTCCCTGCAATATCTAACACATACAAGAAAGGATCTAGCTTGTCCCTTTTGTAGGTTTTGACTTTCAAAGACAGCAAAATATCAAAATTGCTCTTTTCATGAAGTTTAACGTGAAACCAAGAAACTGTGAGATGAACTGACATCAAGATTTGCATTTGGTGTTATTATGTTACCTGTTTTGTTCTGAGCAGGAACAGCCTGCTGATGTGTGTGCAGTGAGCACCACTCTCAAAATAGCTTCAGGGATCCAAACGCTCCGTGAACCCAAATACTGGGTTTTCTGTTCAGTCCCTAGTGGCACGTGTAGCCTGTAGCCCAGGTTTGTCCACTGCTGCAAATTCAGAGCTAGCCTGAAATGCTTTTCAGAAGCAGTAGCTGAAGAAACTTTTGTTTTTTCCTTATTCAGCAAGTAGTAGTAAAAGGTCTTGGTCAATATTTCTTTTATTATGGAAAAGAACAGTCCTCCTGCGAGAGAGGGAGAGTGACAGTGTCTCAGGAGGAATTCCCTAGGAAGTGAACCAGTTTGCAAACTAATTGCAAACTGGTTTTGGCACTTTCCCTGCAATATCTAGCACATACAAGAAAGGATCTAGCTTGTCCCTTTTGTAGGTTTTGACTTTCAAAGACAGCAAAATATCAAAATTGCTCTTTTCATGAAGTTTAACATGAAACCAAGAAACTGTGAGACGAACTGACATCAAGATTTGCATTTGGTGCTATTATGTTACCTGTTTTTGTTTTGAGCAGGAACAGCCTGCTGATGTGTGTGCAGTGAGCACCACTCTCAAAATAGCTTCAGGGATCCAAACGCTCCGTGAACCCAAATACTGGGTTTTCTGTTCAGTCCCTAGTGGCACGTGTAGCCTGTAGCCCAGGTTTGTCCACTGCTGCAAATTCAGAGCTAGCCTGAAATGCTTTTCAGAAGAAGTAGCTGAAGAAACTTTTGTTTTTTCCTTATTCAGCAAGTAATAGTGAAAGGCCTTGGTCAGTATTTCCTTTATTACGGAAAATAACAGTCCTCCTCTCATTAGGAGATGATCAGTCAACTGTGCCACTGAGGCAGCACCTTGAGTCAACTGGGTTGCCAAGGTAATGAGAGTAGTCATTTGACTTCCAGATAGACCTGCACAACAGCAGAAGATGCTGGTGACCACCCCCAGTTCATCCTCCTCTCTCCCAGGCCTTCCCAGGGGGCCCAGCTCCTCTCATCAGCTCTCCTTTAAGCTCCTCAAGTTACATTTGAGTTGAATGTTACGCTCCTATTATTCGTTGTAGCATCTTCATATTTGAAATAAGAATAATGGCTGTTACAGATGAGAATTGTAATTAGCTGCTTCATGTCCTAATTCAGTAGATGGCTCTTTTCTGCTCACTTGTTTCTCAAGGTCCTCAGATCCTTGATTTGTTGGAAAAGTTTCTCCTAAATGCAAAAACAAGGTGGCCCTGCAAAGACATCTGTTAAAGCTAAAGTAAGTTTTCTGTGTTAGTGTGGGGTTTTAAGATAAGTGAAACCTAAGAGACCTTCATCTATACATGGAGAAAACCTTTCTACATACATGGCAATTTTAGCAAACTAATTTATTTTTTTGTGTGTGTGTCTGCTCTTGTAAATCCTGCTGCTGGCATGTCATCTGCCCCACTGGGGTGCACAGATGTCTGTAACGAGGGAAGAGAGAAACTGAAGGAGGTGTCTTTTTCTTCAGGCAGGCATATTTCACCCCTCAGCAGTGGTTGTGCTAATGAAAGTTACCTAGATATGTGCAGTTATTTTCAGGGTCAAGGTGGATTATTTGGCCCATTTGGAGTCAATAAGCTTCGGCTGATTTTCTAGTGGTCTAGAGGTTTCCTTCTGCATCAGTCCTTGTTCTCTTTCCAGTTCTTAGTAACTTCATTTCTTGATCTTTGCTGACGTGTGACTCCCAGTGTTGTCTCTAGGTCTGAATATCTCTGACCTTTCTTTTATTGTTTGCCATCCTTGCTTTCTTCATCCACCTTTATTTTTCATCCCTTTCTTTCATCTTTTACAGGACTTCTGTCTTAAGCTTCCTTTCCTGGCTATATAGATATGTGAAATTGTTTTATTATTTTGAAGGGGTTTATACCTGTAAGTTTTTGTAGCTTACAAAAATGTGGTTTGTTTGTTGTTTTTGTTTTATTTTGTTTTTTCACGTCAGTGCTCAGGTATAACAATGTTGAGTGTTACAAATGGCTAAATAAAAAGGATAGGACTGGAAGAGGTTCAAAATGAATGCATAAGACTGCTGAACGGGGATGTCACTTTAAGATCTGGTTTTGGGTGTTGCATCAGAAGCCAAGGTAAAGGTTTTATTCCATGCTCTAGAATGACTGCTGGTACATGGGAGCTTGTATACCCGGGAGGGGAATGACTTAGCACATTATTATTAGCTAATGGACTGTACACGTTTGCCATAGAGAGAGACTTTCATTTGAAAACTTTAGTTTTCCCCATGATTTGATTCAATATAGACTCTTTATTCCCTTCACTTTGTGTGTCAACAAGAAAAAATGGTGAACCACAAGACTTCGGCCTGTTCAGGTTTTCACAATGAATGGGGACTACAGGGTTGATATTTTGAAAGATTTTTAAAAATACTTAAGTCTATCGACAGAATTTACCCCGTTAAAGCCCACCAGCCATTTAGCTGCAACTTGTCAATTGTTTTCCCTAGGTTTCCAGCAAGTCCTTTTTCTTGAGTGACATTTGGATTTTAACTATTTAATTAACAGGCAAGACATTAAATGTGGACTTGAGCTCTGCAGTAAGCATACATGTCAAACTTGTGGAGTAAGGCCTGTCTGAGGTCAATATATCCTCTTCTAATAAGAATATTTGAATCCTGTGTTCCAGTGTACTTCTCTTGAGGTGTACCCGAACAAACTAAGGTTGTTAATGAATGAGGTAAAGTAATTTTAGCCATAAGAAAAATCTCTGAGTACCTGCTAAAATGCTTTCACGTTTTGCATCCCTTAATAGGGAAGAAAAAAACCCCAGTGGTTTGTTTACTTACTTCTATTTCTCTTTGTTTTTTTGTGGTTGTCTCACTCTGTAGCGTGCACTTTATTAGTCAATGCCACACATATATCCATGTGCTGACCTGTAGCCCTTCCGAGTTCAAGCGTGACACAACACTTGGTCCAGGTTGCCCATCATCTGCTTGATGTTTGACCAGGAGAACTGACTGTGAAGGATTAAAGAGAAAAAGAGTGTTTTACCAGACTGCTGCGTTTGAAACAAAAATAAGTTGATGGGCAAATGTTGGTTTTTTTTCTGGTCATAATCCTGGAGATAACACAAAATGTTATTGCCATGCTGTTTAGTAAAAGAAGTGAAGATTTTAAAGTGTTGAGAATGTGCTTAGCTATGATTATTATTACAGGTGTTTATCGTCTTTTCCTTACGTTAAAACTGTAAAGATTTGTGAGATTTTTGTGTTGCAGTTGTGTTTGACCCTAGAGTTCTTGCATGCTAACCTAAGGTAGAAGATTAGCCTCTTTGCATGCAGCTGGGGTGCTGCTACTGCCGTGACAAGCATGTTCTGTGAGAATGCCATAACCTCCCCTGGCTGCAGCCCCTTCCCAGTCCTGTCTGTGGCCTCATTCCCTGTGGTACGTGCATAACTACCTTCATCATTAGTTCCACTAACCTTAACGGTTCGGTCTTTTATCAGATGCACTCTGAAATGTGCGGCTTTAATCAAACCGGCACTGAACTTTCAGTTTTCTCTTTCAGACAGGCTGAAAAAACTCATTGATGAACGAGAATCCTTACTAGACCAGGTAATCCCAGGAAAACTGGAATGCTGTGTGTTTACTAAATCTGTGTTAAGAATAGTAGAGATTTAAAAAAAATAAATAAATAAAAGTAGCCCTAACGCAGGGTATAGCACAGCAGTGCCGTTGCCTTTCAGAATGTGTGCTGGGTTGCTCTTGCTGAGGAGTTACAGCATCGCTTGCCACTTTATTCTTCCTCTGAAACATTTATCCTGCGTGTTAACTCGGGATATAGGGGAAGAAAAGAAAAGCTGGGGCGCCGTGTGCCTCTTCCACGTTGCTAAAACCAGTCCCAGAAGGGGAAGAAAAGAAAAGCTGGGGCGCCGTGGGCCTGTTCCACGTTGCTAAAACCAGTCCCACGCAGCGCTCAGAGTAGTGCAGGTTGCTGTCCTCAGGTCACCTAAAAACTCCGTGGTGGTTTCTGAGAAGTAATACTTCAGATTGGCCAAGCCCAAGGGAAAAGCAAATACGGTCCAGAAGTTGTAGAAGCAAATTTGATCTCCAGGAGTAAGCCTTCCCGATCGCTACGTCTGTGGGCAGTGGGCCATTTGAAAAGAAACGCTGGAGGGATTGCAGTAGATGAGTAAAGAGAAATTAAAGTAATTATTGCTGGTATCCATAGCAGATATAAAGCTTATTCAAAAAAATTTTAGCTGCTCTGTTTCTGTGCAGGATGCTCTATGCTTTCATTTATGTGTTATATCTTTCGCCTTGAGACTTCATACACAACCACACAGGGTTTTTGGTTTTAAGGATGTGCTTACAGAACATTTATGGCTTTTCCAATGACACGCCTTGAGACTTCATACACAACCACACAGGGATTTTGGTTTTAAGGATGTTTTACCTGAATATGCTTACAGAACATATATGGCTTTTCCAATGAAATAGTCTTCTTCCAATTGGTATGGTTGGTCCTGAACTGGTGCATAAGCACTGATGAATCATTTGCCAAAAGAATTTCTTGGAATTTATTTTGTAACAAAAGATTATTATTTTTTTTGGAGTTTAGGTTTAAAAAAGATAATATTCAATTTTGTAATACTTGAGTGAATTTGGGAACTGAGCCACAATTTTCCCTTGTTTTAATAACTGATTATTTTGTGTCCTTCAGGTTAAAAAATTAAAGGGACAACTGGAAGAAAAGCAAAAGAATGGCAAGATGGAAAATGCACAGTCAGAAGATGAAGTTCTAGAAAACGGGACAGATATGCACATGATTGACCTCCAAAGTGAGCTACATTTTGATTTTAAGAGAACTTTTGTGTCCTGCATGTGAACAAGAAAATGTATCTGTACAATAACCCACATGGCTCTAAATACAAATGAGCCTTTGGTTCTAAGGGAGCTTCAAACTGGGAGCCAGCCGTGCACCTCTACTAGAGGTGAGGGAATGATTATCCTTTTTTTGAGCAAGATTGCAGTTGGAAATCTCCCTTCCGTTCCCCAGGAGAGCTGGGGTGAGTTCCTGATGAATTCTGCTTTCAGAGTGGTCAGAAGGGAATCGGGTGAGAGTGGGAATAGCACCTATCTGTGCTGAGTGCTTTTTTTGACAGAGAGCACTTGCTACTCTACCTCTGCCCCAGGTAGATTCCTGTAGCCTGGAAATTTTAGGATGGACTTGTTAGACACTGTTAACGCTTGTTCTGACGTCCCTGATAAATCTGCAATTCTTTTAGGAGATGCCAACAGACAGATCAGTGATCTCAAATTTAAACTAGCAAAGTCTGAGCAAGAGATAACAGCACTGGAGCAGAACGTAAGTTTTTTGGCTTGTTCTGTTTGTTTAAACGTGGTGAGAATGCAAAGAGAAAGTGCAGTTTGCCAGGTGATAAATGAAATCATGATTACTGTGATTTTCCCTTAAAATAAGAAGCAGAAGTGTTCGAGCATCAGGGCTACTGCACTGAAGTCATAAAGACTAAAATGCTTTCATTTATGTATGGGGAAAGTGAATACATTATTCATTTTTACTGAAGGAAGAACGTTCAAAGGCAAATGTATATGGAGGGCAATTACTGAACTATTCAGGATACAATTTTTAAATGGCTCCTGGCATATAATGATGTCTATGTATTTTATACAAGAGTCTTCAGTTTTGATTGTTTGCTCTTGTCCGCAGTATGTCAGCAATACTCTGGCTAAGATAAATTTAGTCAATGGGCTTTTATTTTTTTTGATTGCTGGAAGCATATTAAATATGGATATGTATAAAAGGTCAGGAGTAAGTTACCATGGCTAGGCTTCCCTGGTATATATATTTATTTTTTTCTCATCAAAATATGCCTTTATTAAAGAGAAGCGAGCATCTCTGTGGTTATTTCTTAACTACTAGCAGAAAAGTAAAGCTTCAGAGTAGCTTCTTGTTACAGCTTTTAATTCAAACAATTTGCTTTCACCTTAGGTAATACGACTGGAAGGTCAGGTAGCCCGATACAAAACTGCTGCTGAAAATGCTGAGAGAGTAGAAGACGAACTGAAAGCAGAGAAACGCAAACTACAGAGAGAGGTAACTCTAAATTTAGCAAACTGTCATAGGCCAGCACTCAGCCTGCACCGCAGCGGGGGACATGGTGTGTTTTAGAGGAGGAACTACCCTCCTTGGCAGAGCAAAGAGTAAACATCTACTTTTTAAAAATTGCTTTAGTTCTTCATTCTACATGTCTAACCAAACTTCCAGCACTCAAAGTGGAGTAACAGTTAACAACTGCCAACTCCCACTGCCTTTTCAGCTCTTCCTTCCTAAACTGACTTGTGATGCCTCGCTTTGTACCAAAATTGGTTCTCTGGAGCAAACTCAAGTTCTACTTGTACAACTTGAATCTAAAACCAGCCTTCAAATGCTTAGGTTCACAAGCTACTTTGCAGCTGCGAGTGCAGAGGAGGGCAACCAAACTAGTGAAGGGTCTGGAAGACAAATCATATGAAGAGCGGCTGAAGGAGCTGGGGCTGTTTAGTTTGAGGAAGAGGAGGCTGAGGGGAGACCTCATCACTCTCTACAACTACTTGAAAGGACACTGTAGAGAGGTTGGTGCTGGTCTCTTCTCACAGGTAATTAGTGACAGAACAAGAGGGAACGGCTTCAAGCTCCAAAAGGATATGTTTAGACTGAACATTAGGAAGGAATTTTTCACAGAAAGAGTGGTCGGGCATTGGAACAGGCTGCCCAGGGAGGGGGTGGAGTCACCATCCCTGGCTGTGTTTAAGGGACGTTTAGATGCAGTGCTGAGGGACATGGTGTAGGGGAGGACTTTGTAGAGTAGGGTAGATGGTTGGACTCGATGATCCCAAGGGTCTCTTCCAACCTAGATGATTCTATGATTCTATGTTCGTGCCAACCTGAATGATTCTATGATTCTATGTTCGTCTGGTTTGACATCCATCAAGCTGAAGAATTCCCATTTCTACTTTGCTGTCTTTGTCCTTTGTTGTACCTGAAGGCTCGTTGCTTCAGGTGTTACAAATTCTGGGTTTGGAAATACAAATCACTCATCTCATTAGAACACGCAATTTGGAAATTATAGCAGTAGAAAGATGGAAATCCTGCTGTAAGGTTAATTTGGGCACTTCATTATTTAAGCACAGCTCTGTACCTCACCAGGAATGACAGTCTAAACTTTTAAGTTTCTGAGTCTCATCTTGAGTGCCAAATGGATGCAAATTGTTGTTATTGAGTCTGTTTCTCTTGCTCTGTCAATCCAGTGGTGCCTGTTTGCTGTAATGCTGCCAGCTGCAGACTTTATGTTTCTCTCTCTTAAAACACTGCATCTTCAAGCTGACTGTAATTTTGACCTCATTTCTCATACCAAACTTCATGTTCTCTCCAAGTAGCTGCTACAACCAGCTTCAATATGTTTGTCAGCTTCTTTCACACCTACCTCCCGAGCTGGTTTTTTTTCCAGTGTGGCTCTTTGCTTTTTCTAAGAGAAAAAGATGTGCTGGCTGGCCCTGATCCCTTGGCTGCCCTGCACTTGCTGTGAGAGCTCCCTCAAGATGATCATCTCCATGACGATCATGGTATGGAGGTCAGGCTGACAGGCCTGTAGTTCCCCGGATCCTCCTTCCAGCCCTTCTTGTAGACAGTTGTCACGTTAGCCACCCTCCAGCCACTGGAGAAGAGGAGGCTGAGGGGAGACCTTATTGCTCTCTACAACTCCCTGAAAGGAGGGTGTAGAGAGGTGGGGGTCGGTCTCTTCTCCCAAGTCACAGGCGACAGGACAAGAGGAAATGGCCTCAAGTTGCACCAGGGGAGGCTCAGGCTGGATATTAGGAAAAAATTTTTCACTGAAAGGGTTCTCAGCCATTGGAATGGGCTGCCCAGGGAGGTGGTTGAGGCCCCATCCCTGGAGGGGTTCAAAAGCCGGGTTGATGTAGTGCTGGGAGGTCTGGTTTAGTGATGATGCTCCTTGTTTGTTGTGTGGGTGTCTATTTTTGTCAGTTAGGTTGATGGTTGGACAAGATGATCTTTAAGGTCCCTTCTAACCTAGAAGATTCTGTGATTCTGTGATTTGGTACCTCCCTTGTTGACCAGGATTTTTGATAAATGATGGAGAGAGGCAAATTCCAGCACTATGGGCCCGTTAGCGTTGGTAACTACAAACCTTGCTTTATCTTTGGAAAGGGAAAGCGTGAGTGTCATGTGGTAGTAGTTTGGTTTTGGGAAAGCGTGAGTGTCATGTGGTAGTAGTTGGGTTTTTTCTGCTTCCTTCCTTCAGTTGCGTTCAGCGTTGGATAAAACAGAAGAGCTTGAAGTCAGCAACGGTCACCTAGTGAAACGCTTGGAGAAGATGAAAGCCAACCGGAGTGCTTTACTGTCTCAGCAATAACCGCCGCCTCCCGATGGAAGCTCCGACTACTTGACAGAACCAGAACAACGTCGCAGATGCTTCTGTCTCTTGCTGTCCCCGGGATGCTTTGTGTCATGCCTTCTGAGAACAGACAACCCCAACATTTGCTACGTGCCACCCAGCTGTGGTTCTCTCTCCGCAGATCCAAACCTACTGCACTATATCCCTAGGAGTAGCTGATCCAAATGGCTGTGCCCTGCGGGAGCCCTTCTACACCGTTCTTTGGGTACCTCTGAAGTAACAATATCCGCCTACCACGTAAGAAGCACATCGGGCGTCGCGTTAAGTTCTCCAGCCAGAAGGCACAGCAGCCATTTATTGCCATTTAAAATGGTATTCAAAGAAAACTCTTTAACTGGACTGGAATTTTGTGTCTTGCTGAAAATTTAAAACAAAGAAAGAAACAAAAAACACTGTAAGTTTTGGACTTTCTCATGACAGTATCTGTAATTTAGTGACTCCGGTAGAGTTATTCGTAGTAGGTTTTTTTCATTTACAAATCACTGTGGAACCACAAGCCATTACAAAGCAAAACTCCTTCAGTGGAAACCATGGAATAAGATGGTCTTGGAAGCAAAAGTGACCTTAAATGACTTTGCCAATAAAACAAAGGTGTTTGGAGGGATTTTTGCACCAGCTGAATCATAAGACTATTTTATTTCAGGGTAAATAGGCAATAGCTTCATTGAATTTTCAACTTTTACTTGTATTATTTAATCCTTGCTCTTGGAATTGAAGTAAACTACTTTTAAAGGATGTAAAGTTGCATTAATAAACCAGCATAAGGCCGTGTTTTAAGAAATGGTGGGTTTTGCACTTAGATCACTCACTTTGGTGCATTTGTCAAAGCAAGTGTCATTTGCTTAAACAAAGTACGTAATGGGTTTTTTACATCAGAAACTATCTACTGGTCCATGAACTACTAGGAAACTATGCCGCTACAAAATGCAAATCTAATTTTTAAAGAAGTAACTGATAAGTAAAGAAGCACTTTAGAACATATTCCTGCCTATGGTTTTTCTACAAATACAGAAGTAGCGAATCGTTTCCTGCTGTGAGGTCACTGTAAAGGTTTTCCACTTTTCATGAAAAATAACCTAACCGATAAAAATGTCGCAGGTGGTTTGTTGTATACACAGCTAGCACTACAGCTCTGGTTTCTTGGAAAGTGTTCTGAATGTACTACTCAAAGGAGAACAGCAGTTACCTGAAGAATAAAGCTGCCCTTCCCCCTTCAGCCCTAACAGAAAAGCTCGTGAGTAAGGCAGGCAACCAGCCCCTTAGGAACCTCCTCACGCCATGAAACACCATCTCCTGTTCCACAGGAGCAACCTTCTGTCCATGCTGACTGCCTCAATAGATATGGTTCTATCAAGCCAAATCCAGACCTGGAAGACCATTCCTTCTTAACTTGGTCTTCAGCATCTCCAGTCCCGGTCTTTCCCCAGCCTCTTCCTCGCAGACTGGAGTTTAAGAGCATGAACCGCTGCTATTTTCGACGTTAAGGGGATCGCTGGTATCTTCTTTAGAGCACCTTCACAAATTAAATTAACCAAAAAACAGTGTCTGAATGTGTTTCTCTGGTTTGGCTAGAAAATAACACCTCTCTCTTCATCTCTTCTGAGTGCACTCAGAAATTTAGGAACGAAGCACTGAAATCAATATTCCAGGAAAAGGATGAAGAAGGTTTTTCTTTTTTTTTTTTGTATCCATGGGGAAAAGCATGAAGGTTTTCTTTTTTTTTTGTGCCCGTGGGGAAATAAGTATGTCCTTGTTGATCAGATGTGGTGGAACGTGGGGATTAAACGAATCATTGAAATGAAATGTCCACTCCAGCTAGGGCTTTGGGTTCTTTTTCTGTTTTTTCGGTTTTTGAGAGGAACATTCAGGTGCAGAGCCAGGTTTCTTGTGGAATACCTCAAAATCGCTGTGGATACCAATTTGCAATTTTCTGTGGTTGACTTGTGTAATTTCTGGTGTACAAAGCCTCTGGGGCCTAAGGAATAAACTAAGAATTTTTTTCAGAATGCAAAGAAGTGTGCTAAATACAACATCTTCCTAACTGATGACAAAGGTGTGTGTGATTGCCACCGGGTCATCTTTTTATATGTGGCAGGAGTGAAAACTGTCTCTCCCGGCAAGAGTCATGAGAAACAACCCAGCAACTACCCATTGGTCCAAAAGGCTAAAAATATTAACTTTGCTCATCAAGAAGTGATGTGTTTATTATTTCAAAGTAGATTTGCATCTTGCACCCCATTAAGCATTAACCTCATGACGGAAATCAGATGTGTATTTCGACCTGGATATGCTCTTAGTAGAAATCTTTGTGTGTGATTAAAGTAGCTGAATGTTGAAGCCACGTTTCCTCCCTCCCCTCCCCGACCCAACTTTACCAGTATGACTTAGCTTTAGAATAAAGGAAGTACTGGGTGGCTTACTGCAAACTGTTTTTATGTTTTCCTGTGAAGAATGTACAACAACAGGGCTTGGAATGGTGATGCTAGCACATGCCCCGTCCTTTTAATTTGAGCTCCAAATGGGAGAGAGCCTCGGTACCCGCTGAGGCAGAGTGGTGGTGGTACCATGGCGAGGAACGGCTCCTGGTGGGGGAACCAGGACAAGATTTCCTAGAATTTGTATTTAAAATTGCTATTGGTTTATTTTTTAAGTGTTAAATAATTTTATTGTTTGCAAAATGGAATGTTACCTGAATTGTTTTGTTTAGTTTTGTTTTTTACATCAAACCTGTTCGGAGGTACAAGCGTGGAAAAGGAAATCCATTAGCAGAACTCGCCAATAAAAATGTCACTTGTTGGGGTAGTTTTTATGGAGTGGTCTGTCATGATGATGTTACTGGTCGAAGTTCTCTTGGAAAATACAGACTTTTTGGATGATAACTGGTGTAATGGGCTCATTTTCCTTTCTGATGTATCACTGTAGAAACACAGATGTGAGCAAAACTGGTTGTAAAATGTACAAAGGGCACTGGTGTGAGACATAGCCCTGAATATTAACATTTCTAATGGTGCGCTTGGGGACAGCCTCCCATCAGGAGAAACTTCAACAGTATTGCTAATGGGATTAATAACGGAATCACAGAATTGTCAGAGTTGGAAGGGACCTTCTCGAGATCATCCAGTCCAACTCCCCTGCCAAAGCAGAGTTGCCCAGAGCAAATCACTCAGGAGCATCCAGGTGGGGCTTGAAGATCTCCAGAGAAGGGGACTCCACAGCCTCCCTGGGCAGCCTCTGCCAGGGCTCTGCCACCCTCACCCCAGAGAAGTTCTTCCTCACATTGGAGTGGAACTTCCCATGGTCCAGCTTGTGCCCGTTGCCCCTCGTCCTGTCCCTGGGAACCACTGAGAAGAGTCCGGCTCCATCCTCCCTCAACCCACCCTTTAGATACTTGTCAGCATTGAGAAGGTCTCCCTTCAGCCTTCTCTTCTCCAGGCTAAAGAACCCCAGCTCTCTCAGCCTTTCATTTTAAAAACCCTCTATTTTAAAAAGTGTTTGTGGTGAACATACAGGTAGCTCCCATAGCTCCTCTCCCCGAAGAATCCCTCACAAGAAGCAACTATGTTCATCAAAAACCTGTCAGTTTTAGTATTGAATTTCATCTTGTGCTATCATGGGCATTTTCTCACAGCTTACATGAAATACACTGGGGAAGGGGTTAGGGCGTGTCTCTGCTCTTTTAAGAGCTCTAAACAATGAATTGCATGGGTTTGGGGTTTAGTTTGTCGTAGGCAGACAAGACATGTTTTGCACACTGAACAAAGACCTCTATGCATATGTGTTCAAAAGGAGTGAGGCCCAGAACAAACTCATAAAAATAACGTGTACGTTTACGACTGGTAACCTCCAGCGCAGAAACCGGTGTTTCTGAGGTAACATTACCCGCTTCAGTGCGTTTCTCTCCACTACCTGTAATACAGACTGGAAGCCTTCCAGTTGCTGACAGACTTCGATAACTGCTCAAGAAGACACACTGCTGTCCCTCGCAGGCTGCCGTTCAGGCTTTCTTTCCCTGCTAAGCCCTTGCATAAGGCCGCGTCGCCCTGAGGGAGGCTGAGGAGAAGCTCCGTTCCGGGAGGCAGGGAGGTGGCTTCGTTTGAGCGGCAGGAAGGTTGATCGGCCATCCCTAGGGCCGGGGTGAGTTGGGGTTGCCCGCTTGGCGGTGCCTTTTGGGCGAGTTGGGGGTGCTGGGCTGCTCTGAGGGCCCTCCCCGGGGCGGCTCTGCTGTGGTGGAAGCTGTGCTCTAAAATCAGTGCCGGTTTCTAACCCTCTTGGCTGTTCTTAAGTATCTAGTAGTGTCAGTAGTAGTCACAAGGTGGTTGTTATTTACCCAGGGCATGCCTAGAGCTGTGGTGGTTCTTGTTTCTTACCTTAAGGAAAAAGAATGGGGCAAAAAAAGTCACTTCTCTGTGATATACGTGTTGTAATTTGTGTATAGGCATCTGAGATGCACTTTGGTAGTGTTACAGCAAGGCTTTTAATTTCACAGAGTTGCTCAAATCTTCAGCTAGGAGATGAAGGTAGATTTAATAAGACAGCTAACGTTTGTGAAACATAACTGTAGAAGCATGTAATGAGATCACGGTAAGCTTTTTTTGGAGGGTGACTGGCTTCTATTGATGATTTCTGTTAAATGATTTTTTTATTAAGTGGTTTTTAAATGATCTCATTTTAATGATGATCCCTAGTGGCGGAGAATCAGCAGATGCAGATTCAAGAGGCCAGCTGTCCTTCCCTGTGAGGAAAGGCTGCCATGAAATTATCTCTTAGGGGCCCATTCTGCAAACCTTCCTGTGCACATATGGTGGGTCACACCATTTATATCTGGAGTGAGCAGAGCAGTAGCCAAGAAATCTGAGTTTCCAGTCTCCCCTTGTGCTGTTACTGCTCCCCAGTAGCCTGTGTCTCGCCTCAGTACTTTGCTTAGTTCCTTATGGGCTGTGTTTCACCAAGCTGGAACTTCCAGCTTCCTCTGGAGGATGAACCACGACGACTTGTGTCTTTAGAAGCAAGTAAACCCCAGCTTATGGGCCTGTTGGTTTGTCTTCACGCCATCCCAGGGCAAAAAGTTACGGACCGGATTGTAATTTGCTAGATTGGGCTAGAGACTGGTGGCTATAACAAAATTGTTGTTTCATTTAAGTAGTTCAGAAAGCATACATAGCTGAGAAATATGTTTGTACATATGCCTCTTATTTATAAGCTTTGAGGGGAAGGCAGGGAAGAATTGGCAACTACTTAGAAGAAACAATCTTCACAAAGAGTGTCTTACATCCCCACATGCTTTTTCTCTGTTTTTTGTTCATGTTTGCTATGAAACTAGGTTTGTCGTGAGTCCAGAGCAGGTGTGCTGCTTTGGTTTGGTGCATTGTCCAGCTTTCTGCTGTTGCGAAAAGAAGCGCTCGGATCTAAGAAACCATCTTCCTGTTTTCCTTTATGACTTAGACTTTCTGGAAGATTCTCAGGTTTTCGTGCAGTCCTGCGCTTGATAACCATTTCTTCTTGTTTCCCCAGAATTGAAAGGAATATGCTTCCATTTTCCCCATTGTCTGACACCTGAAGGGTTTTTTGTTCTTGGGAAGCACAGAGCTTTAAGTCTCCCTCTTCACTCATTTAAGTAGTTTTGAATTTATTTTTTTTTATAATTCTGAACTGAAGGATATTCCCTAGAACGTTTCTTCTTGTTTCCCCAGAATTGAAAGGAATATGTTTCCATTTTCCCCTTTGTCTGACACCTGAAGGGTTTTTTGTTCTTGGGAAGCACAGAGCTTTAAGTCTCCTCTTCACTCATTTAAGTAGTTTTGAATTTATTTTTTTTATAACTCTGAACTGAAGGGTATTCCCTAGAGTAAATATATTGTTAATAGGTAAAGAAGCTGTAAGCTTTCTGTGGCAAGGAGTGCTTCCAGGCCAGTATATGATCAGGAATGATGCGAAGTCAGTTTGTGGCCACTGAATCCGTGACCATCAGCATCTTAACTCGCAGAGTCACTGTACACGTGGAAACACCTTGTGTGCTGTCATGGAGTTAGTGTAGAATGTAAATAGCTCAACGGGGGTTCTGATGATTCAGGCAAGGAATGCTTAAGTGGTAAGAGGATGGAAACTTTGCCCAAGAGTGTAAGAAAATAGGATTGATTGGTCTCTGGGAATGGTTTTACTCGATTGAAATCACACAAGCAAGAACAGCAAATTTTTTTAAAAAACTTCCTTCAGCTCTTAGGGTTTCTTTGAGAATGTACCATGTAATTCTTAGCTTCTATACTAGCATGCAGTAGGTAAAAATAAGTTGTTTAACAGTTTTTTAAACAGTAATGTCCTTTTGTGTACCATGGTGTATTTTGAACTTCTCTTAATTTTTATTAAGGTGAGAAACTGATAGGAAGAGACGAGCTGATGACTTTGAGAGATTGCAGTGGGAGTGAGTGGTGGATTACTTCAGAGGAGAACTGAAAAGTGTTTGTACCATGGCATTTGAAGAGAGCAGCGACGTTAAAAGCAAAAGATGCTTCAGTCAGACCTCACATCTTTCTTCTTACTCTGAGGATGCTGAGCACATGCTTGTCAGAGATGTTGCAGCAGGAGCTAACCCCTCTGGTTTTGACCAGGCACGTTCTGCCAATGCTTCAGAATTAAAGTTGTCAGAGGAAAGCTTACCTTATTTAAATTCATCTCTGGATGCAGATATTGAAATGTATAATAAAAAGAGAATGGGAATTTGCTGCACAGGGTTAGATGAAAGCAAGAAAGAAGCTGATACGTTGGGAAGGGCGTGTGACAATACACACTTTAACTGTGGGGTGTGTGATGATTGCAGACAGAGCAATTCAGGTGAAGATTCGCAGCTGGAGTACGTCAGTGCTCAGGAGCAAGATTTTGATGATAGGAATAGCTCGTGTGAGTTTTCAGAGCAAAGGGAAATCATAGGAATTGAAACCTTAAAGCTGACAGATCCAATTCATGAAGTTTCAGGGGGTGGAGTGGCAAAGGAAACAAACTTCATTGATGGTTCAGAAGGTTGTTGTCCTGCTTCTGAGTGTGGTGTAGGTGACCAGGCCTACCCAGAAGCAACCATCCCAGAGCTTCCCCACCTGCTTCAGGACTCTCTGTCTCTGCCACATTGCAATGGCATGACTTGTGATCGTCAGGAAGAGCAAACAGAGTATCATAGTATTCTCTGTGGATGTATACAGGAAAGTCATTTTTGCGGGAGTAAAGAAAAGGTCTGTCCAAATCTGCTCGTGTGTGATGGTTTAGAAAATAGAGAGGTGAAAGACATCCCACTGATGGACAGCACACTGCCACCCAAAATGGCTACAAGTGAAGAAGTGTCTGGAAATAACAACAGACACATTTGCAGAGTGTCAGTGAAGCAAGATAATCCTTTACTGTTGCAAGGGGCAAGGGCCCCGGCAGTAGCCGTGCAATTTTGTGAATGTGCAGAGGACTCCAGTTTCTACAGTTGTGAAGAATCTGGTGTGTGTGTGCACGGTGCCAGCAAGGATGCTGAAACCCAGTTTCCACCCTCTGAAATTCTCACTCGCAAGGATCCCATTTTTGGGGAGGAAGTTGCAGATAAATCCTCAGGTGGAAATACCAGCTCTCTTCACGATGCTCCAACCAGGAGTTCAACCTTGAGAAGTGTTGCCAGCGTCTCTACAGTTAACCAGGCTGTTGATGCAAGTTCTGATTTTAGAGCTTGCTTTACAACAAGCAGGAGCACCAGCGCTCAGGTCTGTCTCTCCTCCAGGGCTGTTAATACAGAGATAACGATGATGAACAAATCTCGACCTGTGGAATGGCAGCGTGAAACCTGCGCAGACGTCGCTTGCAATACGGACTGGTCGTATGGAGGAGCCAGTAGCACAGACAAAATGTGTTCACAGCTTACTGACACACTGGAAAAACACTCAGGTGCCAATACTGCAATAGCTGGAAGAAGTTCACAAATTCAGGTAATTCCCCCCAAAAACCACAACTAACCAAATAAAGCTGAGATGCAAATTTTTTTTTTTAACTTAAAAGTTGCTCAGAAATGTGTAACTTCTTAAAATGTTTTTTTTGTTTAGGAACAGCAGGAATCAAAAAATGAGCTTTGTAGCAGCGATTTAAAGATAAGTGCTGACAGGTAGGTCATGAATTGTTCTTGGTTTGGAATTCTAGATGCTGGATATGATTTTTTTTTCATGATTGTAAGGTTGTCTGTGACTTAGCAAAACTGATGGTACTAAAGGATTGCTGGGTAGCAGCTCCTATGCTGGAGGTTGCCTTTCAGAGGGACCTGGACAAGTGAGAAGAAAGGGCTGAAGAACTCCTGAAGTTGAACAAAGACCAAAGCAGCCTTGGTCTGCAGTTGCAGACTGGCCAAGAGAAGTTGAGTGTAAGTCAGCAGGGCTCCTATTAAGTGAAGAAGGGAAGACACATCCTGGGGCTGCATTAGCAAAAGTGCAACCAGCAGGTATCTGGAAGTGGTCATTCCTGGTTTGGTGTTCCTGAGGTTGCATCTGGAAAGGTATCTCCAGCTGTAAGCCTTGTAGTGCAAGAAAGAGATGGGCAGACTGGGGAAGGTCCACCAGAGGACCATGGAGATGGTGAGGGGAGCTGGTGAAGCACCTGGTGCATGGGGAGAACTGAGGGAACTGGCTTTGGTCACTCCAGAGGAGGAAAGGTTGGGGAGGTAGGAACCTCCCTGCGGTTCTTGGCAATCAGGGGGTGGATTTCCCAGAAGTTAAGTTCTTTGCAGAGGTGTGTTTTGAAAGGGCAAGAGATAGCAGTTAGAGCGAGGGGAATTCTAAGTGAGAGTAGTATTTTAACAGCATCAGAGAGATGCTAGTCTCCTTTCTTGGAGATTTAAAACAAAAAAACCAATCCGAAATCCAACAACAAAGCTGTGCTGGATAAGACCCCAAGCTAATTTTGAAGTTAGCCCTGCTTTGAACAGTGGATTGTGCTGCAGACCTCCAGAGATCCTAAGATTCTGTGAGTGTGGAAACAAAATAATTTTGTCTGTAGATCAAGAGAGTTGCAAAGTTTCTTTCTCTTCTTAAAACCACACTTTTTAGATAGAAACTATTACGGTGTTCGTGGACTCTCCACCTCTCAGTTAAGGTTGATCAAAAGGTGAAAGCTACTGTAAGACACCATTTTTCCTGTGTAGCAAATAGGAGGAACTGATTTCTTTGTTTTGTTTTGTTTTGATTTTTTTTTTTTTTGCCTTAAATTGTATCAGAAATAGCTTTTGGAAAGCTACTTGTTTCAAAATATAACATAATGACCTGTTCAAGGGCTTCAATATTTTATTATTTTTAATTATTATTATTTTAAAGGCTGGTACACCTTGACAAACAAGCTGTGAAGAATTCTGCATCAAGCGACTGTCAAAAACTCCTGCAGAGAGCGATTGAAGCAGAGCTGCAGATTCTTAACGCTCATTATCAGATGTGCTATCAGCACTGCTTGAAGATTTACAAGCTGGCTTTGGAGGAAAACACATGTTTTAGCAGGTATGTACTTTAATGTCCTTTGAAATGAAATTGATAACTTGTTTAAAAGGCGTTAATTGCTATATGCTACTGGGGTATTCGATCCATAGCTTGTAATAGTGTTTATAGTTAGTGTTGTTGTCTAAAAGAGTTTATCTTAACTCTTAGTATTATTTTAAGCACCTCTTAAAGCTGTCAAGCAGAGTATGGCTCCAAAGAGGTCCCATGTCATTTAGGAGTGAGCTCCTCTTCTTGTGCGATGTGGAGGAATCCTGAAACGCTGTAAAATGTTTGGGCAATTCTGGAAGCAGTAAGAGAAATGAAATGTCTGATCTTATTTTCTTATACGTATTTTGACAGATGTAATGGCAATGCTGAATTAGGTTCATCTCTCGTGTTGGTTTTGGAAGAGCTAAAAAAGAATTACAACACTATGAGAATGAAAATAAAAATGGGTGTACCTTTAAATGCACTTCCACCACTGTCAGTTGAGATGAAGTTGTTCCAAATCTCCTCCTCTTATGTCCCATGCAAGGTAATTTCTTAATTGCTTTTTGTTTTTAATATAAAAGGTTTTCTTCAGAATATTAAGACAAATCTTTTCTTTTTTGACAGTTGTTCAGAGATGATCTTTGCTATAAGTAAGTAGTCCTCATTTGTTGTATTTATTAAAGTTCAAAATAAGTGAGAAGTGAGTTTAAAATATATTAAATTTAGAATGTCTTTATTTCAGGATGTATCTTGTTGCTCCAAAACTGTTCAGCTGAAAGACTAGCATAGCACTTTGGGTACAGTGATTTTATTTCAAGGAGATTTTTACTCTGTAGTGTTTGAATGTGCAAACTATGGCGTTGTATTTTTACTATCTTTATAGCAAAAGTTTTCAATTTACAGGTAATTTTCCTGGTTCGCTACTTTCATTAAAATCTTTGTTTCTAATCTTAATGCTCGGTCTTAAAAACAAAACAAAACCCACAAAAAAACCCTTATCAAAACAGAAAGACTTCACTGCCAACAAAGATAATGTGAGGCATATAAACAGCTGTTCTGCTAGGATTGTCATTCAGTTATGAAGAATGATAGAAATATAATTTAATGTTTCAAGCATATGTATGCTACTGCATGCTCAAGAACCATGGCCAGTTACTTTATGTAAGTGAAGATTAAAACAAATTTGGCAGTAAGATTTTGCTGCGTCAGGTAAACAACTAGAGATCTTTTTCAAATTTCTTGTTAAGTGTTAGTAAAATTACTTAAAAAAAAAAAAAAAAAAAAAGCAGCACAGAGATTTCCAATTGTAAAAACATACATCAAAACATCACACAGAAAGCCATCTAGGTATAAAGGAAAAACAACCTAAGATAAACCTAGAATGTAGCTTTATGTTTCAGGTTGCAACCAGTGCTTTTAAAAATACAGGTGTCAAATCTTAGCTTAAAATGAGAACCAAAGTTTTCTATTAAGTACATTTTATTTATTGTACTGTGAGTTTATGGAAATAATTAAATTAATATTTCAGAGTACTTGGTATTATTGTAGAATTTAAAATTGTTGTGCCATATTTTGTATTAAATTCTTGGATCGGTTTTAGTTCTGTTTCAGGCACAAGAGAAGCTGACTTTGAAGCACCAAAACTGCAAGAAAGGAAAACATCTTTCAGCATGGTAGGACTTCTTCATTACTGAGCTTCCTAGATGTTATGTTGTGAAGCCTGGTCTTCTCTTAGGTATATGCAAATATAATCCCATTCTTCAAGGCTCAAACTGAGATTCTCTGCCAGTAATTGCAAATGCAGCTGATGTCACCAAAATGTTTATTGCCCTTTCAAAATCTTGAGGGTTCCCAAAGATGATCAGTAGGTTAACTTTTTAAAATTTACCTTTTTCATATTCTGAAGCTCAGCAAAATAATATATAATCAGGTGCAAGTGCTATGCCATAACTGAAACCTGTTTATAGGACGATCCACAGACCTTATGTTTAACTGATGGCAGTCAGCCAAGTGAGACTGCTTCCTCCAAGACATTTGAAGAACAACATGAAGATCACGATGCAGAACACGGTAAGCGATCTGCTCCTAGTATAAATGCTACATTATTTGTTAATTAAGTTGTTGGGAAAAAAAACAACCCAAAAACAAACCGTGTGGAAGACACATATGTCAATACTCAACTTTCCTTTCTGTGAAGGAATGCTTAATGTTATATCAGCCCCACATTATACTTCATATCTTGAAAAAAAAGTTGCTACTTAAATAAAAAATGAGAAGTAGTGTGTGTCATCTCTTCTTCATAACGTGGTGCCAAATCATGTAGGTAGCTGGAAGCCTCTTAAGCACACACAAATTTGTACTCATTCATATGACATATCACGGTCTGAATTTTAACACACTGAAATCTATTTTGACTGTTAAGGCTGCGTGAAAAATGAAGAAGGGAATGAGGATTGGTTTGATGCTAAAGAGGACCCAACGGTAGCAGATTTTTCTGTAATATCCGAAGAAACAAAAAAGCAACAAGAAAAACAAGGCACAGCTGATTTAGGAGGTGAGGTCGTGTCCTTTAAGCTGCCATACCTCCTAATGGTGTTTGTTTATTATGTGAGTAATCTTTTCCTTCAACAAGCATAAGTAAAAGTCAAAAAAATGCTAGCTGGGTTTTCAAACTTATTTTTCCACTGCCTTGCAGTGAATGCTTGTACAGATATTTGGCTATTTTCATCCACGTTTTTCCTTGAAAACTTTACCTATGTTAAACAATTTAGTAAATCATTTTTCCACTGCCTTGCAGTGAATGCTTGTATTTAGCTATTTTCATCCACACTTTTCCTTAAAAACTTTACCTATGTTAAACAACTTAGTAAATCGTGTAGCTTGAAATCTTTCTTTTTCTCTCTTCCTGCTGTTTCCCCATACTGGTTTCTTAAGACTTAACTGGGAATGGTCAGTGACTGAACAGGAATAGTTACTAACACTGCTTTCTACTACTATTAGAAGCGAAGATAATGGAGAGTGGAAATGAGTGTTCTTTTATTCGTGTTGGTGGCCTAAGTTCCTCAGTGTCAGAGGTATGCCTGTTCTTATTTACATAGTAGTATTAATGACTTGCCTCTTTTCTGAATTCTTTCATACTATGTATTTGCAACCAAAATGTGCTTCTATTTTGTAGGGTGATTTAAGATCCCATTTCCAGAAGTATCAGATTTCTGACATTCTTACCTGTGTGGATTCTGACAACCACAGGTATATTAATAGAAGTTTTACTTGTTTCAGATTTTTTTTGCTGTCAAACTAAGTGAATTATGGGAGATGGGAGTTAATAATTTATTTAAATTTTGTTCCAGTAATTAATGTAGGTAGAGATAGGTTGACCAAAACTTGTTATTCCAGACAGCTTCTGATATTAGGAAAATTTAAGCAGTCTGAAATTTTCTGTTGAGTTTAACTGAAAGACAGTTAATATTTGAAAGATGAGAACCATTATTTATTCTTACTGATAGTAATTTGTGTTTTACTTCGTTTCCTTTTTTTTTATTTTTTATTCTGTATCTTAGATATGCATTTCTTTGCTTTAAGGAAACTAATAAAGCAAAGTTAGCTGTAGAGGAAATGGACCAGAAAAAAATAAATGGACAAACAATAAGTGTTGAACTTGTGAATAATTCATCAGCGGAGAGGAAATGGACCAGAAAAAAATAAATGGAAAAACAATAAGTGTTGAACTCGTGAACAAATCTTTGGTTTCCCAAATGCTTACAAATAAGATTTGGCATGAAATCCAACCTGTTGGTCAAAGAAATGATCAAGATAAACTGCTCACTTCAGCTTCTAATTCTGTGAAAGCACCTGATGCCACCTCTGATTCTGAGAAAATGCAACTCCTTCCCATAACTTCATCAAAAATTTCTTGCTCTGTGAAAGTACCTTCAGAAACAAAGTGCCCTGGTCTGAAATCATCTGCTGAAGATTCGGCACATTCTGTCCTTCGAGTTAATCAAAAGGTAAATAATTATTTCTAAGGCTCCTGTATATGACAGATTAAGAGCCTTAAAACTTCTCATTCCATAACACATTACATACAGTGTATATAGATAGTAGGATAGGATAGTAAAACGTGTGATATGTCAGTAATAAATTTCTGGCATGCTGCAGAAGAGTGAGAGCACCATTTATTTGCCCCTGCATCAAATTTTCATACTCCATCTTTTTTTCTTAATCCTACACCAGTTGGGAACCCAGCCATTTGCACTAGATTTTTTGTCATGTTTTTCTCCTCTTTGGAGTTTCCACTTTTAACACTTTTTTCACGGGAACGTGTTTTGATTTTACACAGGAAGTTTTGGGGATATTAGAGGGGAAACTCCTGGGTTTAAAATATAAATCTAGAGAATCATCACGTTTATAAATATATTCTTTTTGTATTTGCTTAGGTTGGGTCTTGGAGGATAAGGCAAAGTTAGTGATTGCTGGTGTTGCTCTCATAAACTATATAGATAGCTACCTTTGGGGATCTAACTTTAAGCATGCTAGTCCTCTGGGAAATACAAATTGGATCTAATTTAATGTAGCAGGACCGTCCATTACACATAAATCCATGTATAGTTTTATTTCCAATTTACAGATTGGATAATATGACTGGCTGTACTACAATAACTTAGTGATCTGAATCTGTATCTATTTTTTTTTTTCCATAACAGGTATATTTATTAGTAGTAAAGATTTATGGTATTACTTGTAGAATATGTACCCCATTCACTTTTTGCTTCTTGTGATGTAATTCTAGGATACTGGAGAAAATCTTCGGCCCAAAACATCTGCTCCTTTCTCCACTAATTCATACGATGCCTTTATTTCTCCTCATACATTGAACTTGAGCAGCTTTACCAAATTAATGAAGAAACTTCAAGAAATGCATCCAGAGGCTAGCAGGTGACAGTATTTGGATTTTATTTCTGCCCTGTTTTGTAATGGATCCAATATCCATGGTAACTAAATGTGTTGCACAGAATGTGATGTAAACATTTCTTTCTTTTATTTGTACAGAGACAGAATTGTGGATGCTTTGCTGGAGGTGAGGAAGAATAACAAAGGTATCCTAAGTGGCTTGTCCATCAATTCAATTGTGAAAAGGACCTCTGTAATTCTAAAGAAATCGAACCCCAACCGTGGGTGAGAAAAGCAACGTAAATAAGTGAGTATTCTAGCCTACAGAAATACATGGAATTTGTGTAGCTGTATAGCATGACTAGATTAGTAACTAATTCAGTATAAAGATATGCAAGAAGTACCTGAATGAATCCACTGAAACAATAGCTTGGAAGGATTGTTAGCTTTTTTACAGAACATTTCTAAACAGATTAGCTCGTTAGGTCTATGCGTTCTATAAAACTTGGGGTTTGTGTTACGGAAACTGTCTTATTGATTAGCTTCGTGGAGCACATCTTCTGGACAAAGGTGACACCTAATGGCCAGGCCTTGTGTAGCAGTTCAGAAAGAAATTTCAGCATAGGTTTGATTTTTTTGGTTTAAAAACTGATGATTTTTGTCAGATGTATGAAATTCAGTTCTGGACTAGAAATCTAACAGAGTAAGATTGTATGCCTTTTAGTTTTTTCATGTTAAAGGACATCTTGTGTGATGACACAGCACTGAATTCTGCAGGACGCTGGAGAAAGCTGAGCGTGCTAAAAACACGGCCTGAAATTCAAGGGGGTGTATGTGTATTTTCCTGTAGAAGACATCCTTGAGTTGGCACTTGTTTAAGTCTCCTACTAAGTTTGGTATTCTGCTTGCTTTAAGGCTGCTTTGCTGCCAGGTTTCTCACACTGCCCTGTGTGTTCTTGGAGCTCTGTGTCCAGTTCTGGGCTCCCTGGTTCCAGGAGGACAGGGAACTGCTGGAGAGGGTCCAGCAGAGGGCTGCAAAGATGATGAGGGGCCTGGAGCATCTCTCTCGCGAGGAGAGACTGAGGGACTTGGGTCTTTTTAGTCTGGGGAAGAGAGGGTGTCAAGAGGATGGGGCCGGTCTTTTTTCAGTGGTGCCCAGGGACAGGACAAGAGGAAATGGGCACAAACTTGAACATAGGAAGTTCTGCCTATACGTTTTCAGTGGTGCCCAGGGACAGGACAAGAGGAAATGCGCATAAACTTGAACATATGGAAGTTCTGCCTACACGTGAGGAGGAACTTCATTACTTTGAAGGTGGCAGAGCCCTGGAACAGGGTTGCCCAGGGAGGTGGTGGAGTCTCCTTCTCTGGAGACATTCCAAACCCACCTGGACACGTTCCTGTGGGACCTTGCTCCAGGTGGACCTATTTTGGCAGGGGGGTTGGAGTAGATGATCTCCAGAGGTCCCTTCCATCCCCATATCATTCTGTGATTCTTAGCGGTGCTCCAGTTTCACTTCTGCCCACGAACACAATCTGTCCGGTTGTATATTTATTCTTATGTACCGTTTCTTCCCCCTTCCAACCCCATGTCATTCTGTGATTCTTAGCAGTGCTTCAGCTTCGCTTTTGCCCACAAACACAATCTGTCCAGTTGTATGATATTTATCCTTCTGTACCATTTCTTCCCAAAACTGCATCAAATTCTTAATGCTCTGTTTTTGGTCTCAAAGCTCCTGTTTCAAGGATGTCAAGGAGTTAGTTTGGTTTTAATCGATACCACCTCTTCCAAATGGCAAGTCTTAAGATGAAGCAGACACCTGGGCTAGAAAAGCTTCCCTAAATGCATTAAAATATACAAATAAATGCTTATAGGCCGTTTATCTCAGTCCTTGTTCTGGGAAGTAATATCAGTGACTGGAAAAGGCCTTCAGAAAGACTGACTGTAGATTATGTTGAATGCATAGAGACATGGGATGGAATTTTACATACAGCATAAGGTAATACCAAGGAAGAGCATGAAAGAATCTCAACCAATATGCATGTTTGGCCAATTTCCTTCTGAAAGGATTAGTGTAACATAAGTTTGTTAGTTTGGCATTTGACCGACCCGTGAGCTTTTAGAGATGCCTCTACGAATCAAAATAAAATTTATAAAAGAAAAGTCTTCATATTAATCTATTGACTGACTTCTGCAGGACTGCAGATTCAGACATGAGCTCATTAAAAAACTTACACTTGAAAGTATTTTCAATTAGTAAGGTTTTAACAGCCTCAAATGTGCTGGCCTTTCCTTGTCAAGGGATTTATTTTTGTTTAGTTTGATTTTTTTTTTTTTTTTAATTGTGTGTGGGCTTTACATTCATAATTGTTCCTATGATGGTATTTTTTTCTGTTGCTTTGCTAAAGAGATGATGATGTGAATCATTTTTGCTTTCATGGTGAGGGAGCTGTGAAATAGCCAAGGCATTCATAAGTTACAGGGAAAAAGGATTCTCATCTTTCCATAGTAAGAAACAAGTATGTAATGTATTTAAGCAAAGATTATTCTGCTCAAAGCTCATCTATACTAATTGTGGTGTGTCTGTAGCTTCAGATTTTCCTGAAGGGTTAAGTGTCCACCAAGAAACACCATTTCAGAGCCTTATGTTCTTCCAAGCTGGTGAAACATTCAGAATTGTGCAGAGAAGTGCATAGATTCTACATGCTCCTAAATGATTATTTGATAACTAAATTTTTAATTAATTGAATTAACTTAAAAAATTAGATTCTACATGCTCCTAAATGATTATTTGAGAACTTAATTTTTAATTAATTGAATTAATAAAAAAAAACCACTAGACATGATTTGCTGCATAAAAACCTGTTATTTTATTGTAGTAATTTCTTCCATGTGATTCTTGAAGCTAGGAAACCTCACTATTCTGTGTACTTCTACAGGACATAGCAAAATTATCATAGCTTTTAGTGATTTTTCTGGGGTGCTAAAGCTGCTCATCTTCCTCTTATTTCAATTTGAGTGTGTGCACGCAAAATTTATCCGATGCTTCTGTTTGTTTGTTTTCTTTTTATATAGATGGCTTTCCAATTAAGAAGAATCGATCCTCTCCCATTGGAAAGGTTTTTGCAAATTCTATACTCCAGCTTGTTCCAAGATCATACCGTGTTTCTTGTTTGATTTATTTCAGCAGATCTTAACGAAAACTCACGTAGCATCACTGTATGATACACAGTCTTATCCAAGACAATATAACAAAGGTCAGTTTGGGGTGTTTTTCTGTTTATGCAGATACTAAATGATTTTTCCCAGTTTTGTTGCTCTCCGTAGTTGGTTCAAGTATTTCAGCAGATTTCTCCAAAGTCGAAAGATCACACTTTGGTGAAGTGAGAGTTCTCTAATACCAGCAGGGCTTTTCTAGGCTGAAGTACACAACCCCCAGTTCTTGTGTGCCACTTAATTTTAGGTGTAGTTGTAGCTGCTAAGATATTAATAAATAGCCATCAGGAGTGTGCTTTACAGATAATCTGATTCTGGGTAGTCTGTAGAAATTCCATGTATCCTGCAAATACCTGGGAGGAACAGGGGAGGCAGGGAGAGTTTCATTTTGGAAAAGCAGGCTTCAGAGGTGGTGGGTGCCTTTCCCATGCTGAAGCAGAGTCACCACCTCCTGTCCATGTTGACTCAGAAGTGTGTTGTAGACTGCAGAACACTGGTATGACAAAACAGTTCCTTCAGGGTGAAGCCTGCATTTCTTTTATTTATTTATTATCTATTTATTTTTAGAAGATGGCATTTTGTTGTCTCATGTTCCATTTCTGTTTCTGCAAGCAACAAGATGGGCTTCTAAATACCTTTTTTTTTTTGTGTGTGTGTCCCACACAGGGTGAAGCCTGCATTTCTTTTATTTATTTATTATCTATTTATTTTTAGAAGATGGCATTTTGTTGTCTCATGTTCCATTTCTGTTTCTGCAAGCAACAAGATGGGCTTCTAAATGCCTTATTTTTTGTGTGTCCCATGGCCTGGCATAGCAGGAAGCACACATTCCCTGTGACTTCTGGTTTGGGTTGATAGAGGGGAGAGGAGGAAAGCTGGGAGCCTCCAGTTTTGCATGTTTGCTTGTGTCGTTACTGTACAGAAGAGGTCTAGATTTTAAATCCTCTTCTAGTAAACGAAGGAAAGGCAGCTTAGGTGTACGTGTCTGGTCAGAGGGTGAGGAGAATTATCCTTGATTGACACAGACAGGCTTATGCTGTGATATTGCACGACAAGATAGTACATTGCTGTTGTCCCTCCTCTGTCTCTTTGTTATACTTTGTTGTAGATCCTGGCTGCGTTTGCTGCTGAAAATAGCAGCCTTACTTACCTGTGAATAAAGGTTAAAATTCCTTCTTTAGAAGTTGTGCTGGTATTCTGCTGTGTTCAGGTCTCATCCCTTCCCTCTTCCCTGAGCAGAACCACTGTAGGGTAAGGCTTTCAGAGCCCCAGCCTCTTCTTCCACAACCAGTACTCTAAACTTGGTCCTGAAGCTGTGCTGAGCCCTCAAGTTTGGGTTCTTCCCTGCTCATATCAAGATAAAAGCAGGTGTAGGCTTTGCTCTACCACATTATGAACAGCAAATGTTGCCCTGTTGTGTTCCCCAGACTTGATTCTGTAATTAATTAGGTGTTTGCGTGGGACAGACTGGCTTTCTGGCGTGCAAGCTGTCTTGTTTCTGTGGGGAGAGCAGAAATGGTTATGATACAAAAAGCACACTATGGTGTTTATTCAAGCTTTTTTGATTCTTGGCCTTGAAAGGAAGAGCTAACTTAAAATGTGAGACCCAGGTGAGGTGTCCCTGCCCAGGGCAGGAGGGGTGAAGCTAGATCATCTAGGTGTCCCTGCCCAGGGCAGGGGGGGTGAAGCTAGATCATCTTTTAAGGTCTCTTCCAACTTTTAACCATTCTGTGATTCTAACACATAAGCTTTTTGTGTATTTATAGAATATGGGCTCATTAGAACACAGCATTTGCTAATCTAAAATGCACTTTAAATAATTCTGGGCTTTTAAAATGCCTTTTAACCTTTTTGTCCCAACTGCCAGTAATAAAGTAATTGCCATCAGGTGTGCAACCACAAGACCAACTGATTTGACTGTGAACCAGCTGTGTCTGCACACACCTGAAGAGTGGTCCTGGAATAAAAACGTTAACAAGGAAAAGCTTTAGTTTTGACCAGTTTGGGGAGGGTGGTGACCTCCCTGCAGCTGGAGCCCTCATTAGTGGGATTGTACCTCCTGAATCATATGGGGATCTGGAGATCATCTGGTGCTCCTGCAGAGCCCAAGCAGGCACTCTCATATTCGGGCAAGGCAAAAATCCAGTTATCAGCTGTAGGTGGAGCTGATTTTCCATTCTGTAAGAAAAAACCCCACGGAACATGTATTTTCCTCCTCTGAAGGTTTGATTAGGTCTTCTATGTTCATATTCAGCACTCTAAAAGAGGGGGAAGATGGGGCTTGGGGTGGAGAGAAACGCCTTGGGTGGTGGTGATGGAAGGATGGCTGAGGGGGGAAAAAAAAGGTGGTTCACAGAATGATATGGGGTTGGAAGGGACCTCTGGAGATCATCTAGGTTGGTTCCTTCCTTCCTCCCCAACTGGTTTTGTTGCCTTTCGCGTGTTTCTGGGCTCCTCGGTGAGGAGATGGCGGGGGGAGGCGCAGGCGGCGGCGGGGCGGGCTCCGGGGTCCGCCCCCTGCGCTCTAGGGCCGCCGGCGCGGAGTTCTCCTCCTCCTCCCTCTCCTCCTCCTCCTCCCTCCAGCCCCGCCGAGCGGAGCGGATCCCGCCCCGCTGTCCCTCTCCCATGGGCCGGCGGCATCCCGCGGCGGGCGGGCTGCGCGGGGCAGAGCGCGGCGGAGGAGGAGGAGGAGGAAGAAGACGAAGAAGAAGAAGAGATGGCCCTGCTCCCCCGGAGGTTCCTCTGCTTCTTGCTGGGTAAGTGCGCGGCACCGGGAGCAAACTTGGCCGGTTGGTGGGGTAGGACTCGGGAAGCGTTCCCCTGGGATCGATTGAGGGAAGTCCTCGGGGTCCCCGAGAGGGGCTGAGGGGTTGCACGGCACCGGCCTCCTCCTCCTCTTTCTCCCCCTTCACCGGTTTATTCCTGAAATTTCTAAACTCTCCAGCCAGGCTTTTCTGGTAACGCAGAAAGCAGGTGGAAATTAAAAGGAGAAATCATTCCTGAGCAGGGCTACAAAGATGATTAAGGGCCTGGAGATCTCCCTTAGGAGGAAAGGCTGAGGGAGTTGGGTCTGTTTAGTCTGGAGAAGAGAAGGCTGAGGGGGGATCTGATCAATGCTGATAAATACTTCAAGGGAGGGTGTCAGGAGGATGGGGCCGGTCTTTTTTCAGTGGTGCCCAGAGACAGGACAAGAGGAAATGGGCACAAACTTGAATAGAAGAAGTTCCACCTCAACATGAGGAGGACCTTCTTTCCTTTGAGGGTGGCAGAGCCCTGGCAGAGGCTGCCCAGGGAGGTGGTGGAGTCTCCTCTGGAGACATTCCAAACTCTCCTGGACAAGCTCCTGTGCAGCCTGCTCTGGGTGGCCCTGCTTTGGCAGGGGGTTGGACTAGATGATCTCCAGAGGTCCCTTCCAACCCCATATCATTTTGTTATTCTGTGATTCAGAGCGTTAGGACATAAGAAAACATCTAAAGTGGTTTCTAAAAACGTCAGCTGGCAGTGCTGTTGGACACAGCCTGTTTTGTGTGGGATTTCCTACGTGGTAGGTGAGATTCACTGAAGTATGCTTGCGCTGGGAGATGTCCTCTGCATCTGTTTCAAAAGTAGAAATGAATTATTAAGACACTGCTTTTGGAGAGGACACGGCCTGAAGTGCTTGTTCAAGCAAGCGTTTTCTAAGCCAAGGGCAGATGTTCTGGGTTTTGTGGATGGTTGACTTAAAATCAGGTTGGAAGTTCTTGCGTTGCCTCATTATTTTCAGGGGTTGCGGCGTGCCCAGGTTTCTTTGATGCTTCTAGCACTTCAGATGCAACAGGTAGAGAGACATGTAACCCGTGTATCTGCAGCAGGAAGCTGTGAAGGATCACGTATTGGTACTCTGTATACAAAGTGTGTTTATTTAATGTTACTTAAAAGGGAAACCGTGTCTCCTCATCCCAATGCTGCTCTTCCATGAAATTAAATTGCTCTTTGAGGAAGCCTAGATTTCTCCTCCTTCCCCTTCCTTCTCCCTTGCTGGTTTTCTCCTCCAAACCTCAGTGAATAATGCATTGAGCTGTGCTGCATGTAATGGTCTTATCTGTAGCGTGTAATTAACTATTTACTACTCTTCAGCTGGTGGTTATTCATGGGGAAGAGGAGGCTGTGCTGTGAGATGAAGCACATTCTCTGTGCTCAGAAACTTGTGGCCGACGTCGCTGCCACTCCTCCAAACCTCAGTGAATAATGCATTGAGCTGTGCTGCATGTAATGGTCTTATCTGTAGCGTGTAATTAACTATTTACTACTCTTCAGCTGGCGGTTATTCACGGGGAAGAGGAGGCTGTGCTGTGAGATGAAGCACATTCTCTGTGCTTGGAAACTTGTGCCTGACGTGAGCACTAATTCCTGCTTAGTTAGGATTTCTCTCTGCTGTCTTTTCCCATTCCTTTCCCCTTTTCCTCCCCCTTCTTTCCTCTTGTTTTGGGCACTGTAACTCGGGAAAGTGAAGGCAGCAGGAGCTCTTTTCCATCTCCAGAGGCTCGGTCGTCTCTGTGCAGACCACTTAACCGTGATAGATGTCAGCTAATTGTGGTGTCAAGTGGTTGGATACATTTGACTTTTGCTGCATCCTCCTTCTGTGACTTTTTTTTTTTTTTTTTTGAGCACATTTCGCACTATTAAAAAAAAAAAAGACCCAAACAAAACAAAAAAAACCTTTTTATTTCCTTCTGCTCTATGACCCGGCACACAAACTGGACTGCGCTGAAATTACAGAGCCCAGAAATCACAGTGGAGTTGTGAATTTTGAGGTTGCCGATGCTTCTGAGGAAGCAGGTGTTTTAAAATTAATATTTTGGGTTTTTTTTTAAGGAGGAAAGATAAAAGGGGGCGGGGGGGGTGGTGGAAAGCTCTGCTAATAGATATGCCAGGAGCTTGCTAACGTGAGGGCAGGCAGAGAGTAGGGAGGACGAGTTTTATGGCTGCCTGTTGGCATTTTTACTGCTGGCTCGTGAGCCCTGCTGCTGCCTTGGGGCATGCTCTGGGACAGCTGCCTTTGTCCCTTCCCTCACAAATGGTTGAGAGCTTGATGAATGAGGAGT